GAAATTGCATGTCTCTCATGCAATAATATGTAAACATCTAAGGAATATGGGAAAACTTCATAAAGAAGGTGTTTGGGTGCCTCACAAACTCTCCGATGAACACTCGTTTCCAATGTGTGAACGTTGCTTCGTCTCTTCTGGCGCGTAATGTGCTTGACCACTTTTGGACAAAATTGTCACCGGTAATGAAAAATGGATTCTCTATGCCAATAATAAATGCCAAAAGCAAGGGCTCAGTTCTAAATAAAAACCACTTCTGACCCCAAAATCTGGACTCCATCCGCAGAAAGTGATGCTTTGCATTTTGTGGGACAGCAAAAGAGTAATTCATTTCGAACTTCTCAATCCACAGCAAACTGTCAATGCAGAGATCTATAGTCAGCAACTGGAATATTTAAATCAAGCCCTTCATCAGAAACGCCATTCACTCATCAATCGGAAAGGTATTCTTCTCCACGACAATGCATGTCCACATGTGGCACATTTGACACAACACAAGATTATGGAGTTGGGTTGGGAAGTTCTCCCCCACCCACCACATTCTCCAGATATGGCACCATCAGATTACCATCTCTTTCATTCACTGTAACACCATCTTAATGGGTAAACGCATGCAAATGTAGAAGATGTTAAAGAGGACATTGAAATGTTTTTTGCTTCAAAGCCAAGTGATTTCTTTAATCAGGGCATTAACAACCTGATTATAAGATAGAAAAGCATCATTGATAAGAATGGAGACTATTTCATTTAATAAATGTTTAGTTTTGACATGCAAGTTGTTCAGGTTTTTTCATCTAAAAAAAGCAATATTAATTTCTTGATGAACTAATAGGATGAATATAAATTATAAAATGTAATTAAGCTTAAAGGAAATAGTGTTTGTTAGTTTCAATAAAATTGATTATATTAATAAAGATAAAAACATTTTGTACGATAGAACTAAATTAGTAAAATTAGATATAGATCCAATTAAAACTGAGGATGCCATTGTTACAATGATATCTATAAAAATAAAATTATTGACAGCAATTGTTATAAAATGGAACAGTAGGCACTTCTTTGGAGTTCCCAAAGTTCATGAAGATGGTTGTCTAGTTAGACCAATTATTCTTGGAACCATTAACTAGTAAGAAAAATGTGTATTGGGTTTTCTCAAGAAATCCAAAATTAGAATTTTGATATTAGTATTTAATGAGTTAGTTTTGATACAAATATTCCTTTAGATGAGACTACAAATGTATGCAAAAAGCTTCCATATCAAAATAAAAATACAATACTTGCCGGTGTATAAGACGAATCTCATATACAAGACAACACTGTATTTTTTGAACAAATAGAGGTTCGATGTATAAGATGACCTTTGTTGTCAAGCAAGTCTAAGATGTTACTTTTGTAAAGAAATTCTTAAAAGTTATTTTTAAAATGTGCTAACCTGCACTCTGGGATAATCAATACAACCATAATTGTGGTTTTTATGTTCTTCAAACGCTACAAACAGCTCAGTGCAGCATAACTTAAGTCACAAACATGTAATAAACAACTTTACAAAGTTTTCATCACAGTTGAATTCCTTTTCTATTACAAAAAAATACTAAACTTAAAGGTATAGTGATTTACTATAAACACATGTTTATAAAATTAGTGTATGTTACAGAAATTAACTTCTGCTGATATAGTATTAGTAGTATTTTAGCATGATGGATGAGATCAATACATTTCAAATAAAAAATGTCTTGATTTATTGTAATTAAAATATGAGATAAACAACTTCTAGTCATAAAGAAACGAGACAAATGATGCAACTACAAACATGTTATTCTTTGTAAGGCACATTGTACTGGGATATTAAGAGTAACAATTACAAAAAAGACGTCTTTTGGCACAATAATAAGTGAAAGTATTTAATACAACTTACAGCCAACTAGTTTCGGTAAACGTGTTCATACTATTTGTGATTATTTAAATAATAACAGAGTTCCTACACATCCAAAATAAAATGTTGGTAAACAAAAATTTCTTTATTATTGCTATATACAGGCTATTTTAATTTGAAATCAATTATGTAAGTTACGTCACTGTGCTTAAACTTGAATGTAGATCTATATAATAAGATTCAGTGTGTGTCACAAGTCCTCCTAAACTGGTAGTCGCACCAACTTCTAAATGGTACCAAACCATTTGTCTCGGTCCCATGGTTTGCACAAAGGTAAACATTTTTCACCCCCACCCCTTAGGGGACTTAAGTTTATCAAAAAAAAACCTTCTCCTAAACTACTAGACTCACCAACTTTTAAACAGTGCCAAACGAATTGTCTCAGCCACAAGGTTTGCACAAATGTAAGATTTTTTACCCAACTCCTTAGAGAACCCAGCTAATTCATGAAAACACTTTTATGGGGATTTCCTAAAAGTGAATGCCATATAAATTTCCAAGCTACATCCTTTTTTAGCAGTAGGAACCATATGCTGGACTAGTGTAGTGAATCTATAAATAGAGTTTAAAATCCTCACAAAGCCACATAATCACTATATGACATAACTGGCAAACTTTGTTGGAAAGTTGGGGGGGAGGGGGGGTAAAATAGAAGTTATGTCACCTGTTTAAATGTCAAACTACTTTAGGCCTAGTGTATTACATGACACACACTTAGCTCTACATATTTACAAATATGATCAAGATTAGGCCTAGTGTACTATGTGATATACAATTAGCTCCATGTGTGAATTACATTAGGCCTAATGTACTACATGACTGACTAACTGGGGGAAGTTTTAAAAGAAAAGCTAATTCAATCTAACACAGTTGTTAGGCTCCTATGCCATATGATACACACATATTTTCATCTGTTTACATGTCTGAACTATATTAGACCCAGTGTATTAGCTTTATGTTTTCACATGTGTGTAACTAAATTAGGCCTAGTATTCTACATAATATACAGTGAGCACCATATTCTTACATGTCTGATCTCGATCTGGCTTAAGGTACTAATTGACAAAAAAATTAGCTTTACATATTTAAATGTCTCTAATAAAATTAAGTCTAGTGATTTACTGTGCAGATAAAAGTACATTACTTTAACTTTTTTTTTATTTCCAAACTTAACCATCAAGTTTTCTTTTCGGCTTTATCAGAAGTTTAGAACTTTGAGCCATTTCTTAATTCTAAAGATTTTAACACCTCTTTCTGTAGCATGCATTCAAACATAACTGGGGCAGGGCAGAACTACACTTAGTGATAACTTATTTAAATTAAGCTCACCTGTTCACGATACATGCTAATATCTTCAAATGATTTGGCATTGTTAACTGCAAACACTAAAAGAAACCCTTCTCCTGTGCGCATATACTGGTCTCTCATTGCACTAAAAAATAAAACAAATATGAAATAACTGGAGACACTATTTTTCAAAACAGTCTTTACTTTCTAACTTAACTGAAAAGGTAATACATACACTGATGAGGTAAATATATAGTTCTGGCCTATAAAAAATATCATAACATAGTAAACTAAATATTCTACCTTTGATTCTAACAGAACAAATGTACTTGATTTTTGCTTGTCCTTAAGAACAGGTAATGACAATAATTAATTTCAATATAATTATGTATACCACAATCTACTACAGTGGTTCCAAAATTGGGGGTGCACCAAATATGAAGGGGGGGGGGGCTACCACGTTTGGCACCATGTAAGGTTAGACAATATTAGTCAATGCACTTTTCTGGCCACAGCCCATATGTACGTGTGTGTGTGTGTGTGTGTGTGTGTGTATTGTTACGACAGCGGAAGTCACATGATGC